TGAAAAGTTTACTAACATCGCTTAAAACTATTATTATCTATTTAAAAGAAAAAGATTTACAATTTCTGGCAAAGATAAGCGATACATTTTTGGTTTCTTTAATATGACTCGAACTCCTCATGTTCGTAATTGTTTTCAATTTGTTAAATGATCTATTTGCAACAGTTGAGTTTTCGCTTAGCCTATATAGGTTCTTCGACACTTCGCAGGATCCTTTCCGATGTTTTTACACAGAATATTGACCAAGATGTCAGGAGACTACAGCTAACTTTGATAGAGTACTTCCATGAGTAGTGAGTTAGAAAAACATAAAGGTATTCAAACACTTTTTGACCTATTCTGGTTTATAGAGAATGTTTTGCTGATCATTTTCGTAAAAAAATATTTCTATTTTGATCAAAAAATAACGGTGCTAGAGCCAAATTACTGAAAAACATCGAATTGCTCCAAGATTCCAGAACAATTTGACGTTCTCCAGTAATTTGATCCTAGCGCCGGTATTTGTTGGTGACAATTGAAACATTTTTTTACGAAAATGATCAGCGAAAAATTCTCTACAAAATAGAATAGGTCAAATAGTTTTTGGATACCTTTGTGTTTTTTATGGTTGACTACTCATGAAAGTAATTGGAAAAAACGGCCAAATTCTGTATTGAAACTGATCTTACTAGATTTCAAGCGTCTCAATAAGCTGCTGACGCTGTAAAAAATACCATACGTCTTACAAGACAGTGCATCCATCTATGGTCCGATTTAGACTCAAGTTAGGCATGAAATACGTCTTAGCTTTAGACACTTGGATCAAATAAACATTGATGCGTCTTATTTTTTTAGACGCTTGATCCAATAGATATTAATGTGTCTTGTTTTTTATCGTAATAGAACATATGACCAACTGGTCACAAACAAAGAACGATTGGTAAGGTATTTAAAATGTTTCATGAAAAATATTTTTAAATATTTCTTTTTTTATATAATCGAGTAAACATGATAGCTTGAGATGATTTTTTTTTCGGAAAATAACATCATTTTTATCAGGTACATATCTACTTAATCTTGTTTTTTTACCTTTACTTGATTAAATACTAAGTTTTATTTAATTTAAATATTGATAAATTTTTATAGGTTGTTTTGTGCATCGTTAACTATTTCTGACTTTGCTTCACACTATTTCTAGCTACTAAAATAAGTAAGTGTCTATTTACTGTTTTTAAATCATATTTATTTTACCCTTGATAGTTTTCTTAAGGCTTGTTTTCTCATACTGAAGATCGAAATTTTCCTTTACAAATGAATTTAGCATATCAAGCAACATTATGTATGAAAAACACGTAATTAGATATAAACCATTATCACAACTGGTACATACTGATTTTATAACTTAAATATGAAATTATCAAGAAGAGGTAAACAAAAGATTGGCTCTCTAATTTATTGTTTTTTATTATAAACTTCGTTTTCATTCTATATCCGCTAATCTTAGTAGTATTCGTATTTTACAACTGTTACTACATTTTCAAACATCATTGAAATATAATAGTAAGCAGAAGATGACTATTTTTAATCATGTTGTTGTACAACATTTCTACAAACAACAAGAAGTAAGTATTGTTTTGTGTTTAATTTGCTCTTATATCTTTCCATTTCAGATAAATGAGATCAATTTTATAGCAATTAGAATTTTTGCTTAGATGCTGATGATTACAACGTGTTTTAAAGACAATTATTTTTTTTAAGAACTTTGACTTATTAATCAGCATACACAATTCGATCAACATTTAATGATTGAGAAGTTAATGACTTAATTTAAACTTAAGGTATTTAAAGACATTATTTTAAGTGATTTAGTAAGTCTTAGAAATTGTTGGTAACTTATTCCTTTTTTTGCTAAATTATTTTTGAAAAATATTGTAGTTTCTCAATAATAAACTTTTTTCCTTGTTTATTTCAGTTTTTCGCCTTGTATCACTATGTTATGTGTTTATTTTTCTAGATTTGATAAAAATTACGAATATCTTTGCGATGACAACTATTTAATTAACTTCGACACTATGTTACTCGGTAATTCAGCTGCTCTAGGAGCTACTTATTCTAGAAATGATTGTATTTAGATATGAATAGTAAGTATAAAGAAACTATTTTCGATAAAATAATGTTTTTAAAATTTTTTTGCAACTAATTCTATTTTTTTTTCAAATTTAACGAAGCATTGTATTGAAAAAAATTTGAAAGAATTAAATTCTCGTTAAAAAAATGTGAAGTTGAATTTGAAAAAAATTAAAGCTGATGAGAAAAAATAAAAAACTATCTTATCGAAAATATTTTCTTAATACTCGCTATTCATATCGAAATGCCATCATTTCTAGAATAAGTAGCTTCTAGAGTAGCTGAAGTGTCTAGGAAAGACGGATGTAAGACGCTTCTCTCATTGGTGAAGATTGTCCAACTAAAAGCAAACATGACGCTCAAATGTCTACAATCTGTCATCCGTTGACACTTGGAGCATCTAATTTAAAGTTACATCTACCAATTGGAAATCGCTCAAAGTGTCTTACAAAAGCATATGAACTGTCTTGTATATACACTTCATGAGTCTTGAGTTTTTAGAGTGAATTTATTAAAAAAAAACTTGGAACTCTCCTTTATCATCAGGGAAAAAATGAGCTCATTTGGTCGAAAAATGGCGGTCATATTTAATTTTCTTTTCGGTCAATGAATTTCCGGACACCCTGTATGTAATACTGGGCGACAATCGAATGTAGTTGCAGTATTTTGTTCCATTTTAAATAGCAGTAAATAACGGTCGTATGAACTACTAAGTAATCATATTTAGTAATAATACATATTTTCTTGTTCGTCAGTTGTTATGTTCTAAAATAATGCTCGAGTTGTTTACTTTAAAAGATATCCTCATAAATATTGTTGTTTCAATAAGTCACTGCTTTTGTGAATGAATGATAATAATTTTACAGTTATAACTTCTTAGTTATACATAAAATATTGATCATTACTTCACTCTGCTAGCCTTTGACTGCAGTATTTCTTTATCCCAGCCTTCTGTGCTTTTGATGCAAACAAAGATCGCGACTGAAAAAATCAATAGGAATTTTTATGTTGATGTGTAGATCTCATATCCACAATGGCGGATGGGTCTCTTGATGCCTACGGTTTCTCTGACGTCGACAAGGAGCCCATGCGAAGACTACCACCGCTGAGAGGCTTTGAAAATATCCCTCTCGTATCTCTTGCAGAAGCTACGTAACTACTCATACCATGTGTTTCAGAAATCGAAAATATGAGTGACATAGTCCAAGGACACAATATTCAACCACAAAATGATTTAACTGTTGACGAATCATCTGTCATTGTATTGCACTCAATGGAATGGTCCACACGAAAAAACTCATTCTATATCATAAATAGGGATGCAACGGTGATGATAACCGTAAATACGACAACCGATTTTCACCGGTATTTCACGAAGCAAAGGACTTTTTTTTAGAAAATAACGATATTTTATAAAGGTTGACGGAAGTAAATCGGGGTCGGGGAATCCGAATCTGCAATCAGTTTCTCAAAATTTCATAGTCGATTTTTTCAATAAAGAAAGAGTTTTTCGAGACAACCGCGATATTTTATATACAACAGCTTGTTCCAAAATGAAAAAAATTAGTACACAATGTTGAGAAACTGATGGCAGATTTGGATTCTCGCACCTCGATTTAATTTCGTCAGCCTTTATAAAATATCGTTATTTTCTCAAAAAATCCTTTGCTTCGTGAAATACCGGTGAAAACCGGTTGTCGTACCTACGGTTATCGCAGTAGACCGGTAACCGTACCTGCGGTTATCGGTTTAGGCCGGTGAAACAGTGACGATATACCGGTGAATCACCATCACCGTTGCATTGCTAATCATAAATAATACACTACGCAATTTATATCAAGAGGCATATTGCTGTCACCTTGGTTAAAGCTTTTAAAACTCTTTCTAACTGCTCTCTGGAGGCTTCTACTGACTGGTTCTCAAACCATCCATCAAGTAATCAAATTAGATTTTGGAGAAAAATGTAAGGAAGATACACGAATTGTTTGGCGGGGCTTTTGTTCATGTACAAGAGCAGTTGAAGTTCTGGAAAACGACCCCTTTTTTCGAACGACAGGGTCAAGAATTCCATTTGCTATTGAATGTGACACAACAAAACATGTTCGTTAGCATTCGTTCTATCAAAACGAAGATGAGATATTTCTTCTTCCTGGTCAAGACTTTGAAATTCTGTGATCGATGGACATGGGTCATAACGTTTGCCTGAATAAACTATATGAAAAACAGTTTTTATTTTATCTTGAAGCACGTGCAAACGAATTTTACGTAGATGCTTTTCTTCGAGTGCGTTCAGACGCACTTAATGCGTGTTAGCAAAAAGAACTCTCTTCAATTCACACATATCGAAGCAGGAATATTCGCTAAAATGCGTTCAAACATTCACTGCTCTCAGATGCGTTTGAACGTTAACACATCCGGACGCGTCTAACTCGCTGGTAAAACACAACGCATTGAAATCTGGGACTCAATCAGCCACATTTTACGCTTTAAACACATCTATAAACAGCTTCCGAATGCGTTTCTTTACTATTTTCTTTAATATCGCCGTTTAGACGAAGGCTTCCTGTGTTTCAGAGTAATATGGGCACCACTGCTACCAAATCATCCATCACAACAGTACAAAATCCAGCTTCTAAGCCCAAACCTTCCGTACAATCGGTTAAGGTTTCCTATAAAGAAAAACAAATAACTGATGAAGACATTGAGCGTGTAATCAAGGAGGCACTCATACAACAACAATGCATAGAACTTGATTTACTCTCGAACAAAATTACACATACAGGTGCTGCAATACTTGCCAAGGCATTGCGAAATAACACAGTAAGACAGTTATGCTATTTATGTCTTGATATAGGTACTTTGAAGAGACTTTAAAGTCATATACATGAGCTATTCATGAATTATACATGCAATCAGTGATTAAAAGTATAACTCTTTATAAGAATTTTTATATTTCATATAGCGAGATACAGTGTATAATTTGGTATCATATGAACCGGAAGAGAAAATGGCAATAGATGTGAGATGCCAGAAAAAAGAACTGTATTCACAAAACAAATGAACACTTGAGATCTTAAATGCAGTATTGTCATACGTTTTACTCTTATGAGAACTGCTTGATGAAACTAGTGAACAAAAGACAATAAGATTTGTGTTTTTCGTCGTGACAATCTGTCTATGTTTTCTTATTTCTACTACTAGATGCTGATCTGTTCTGAAATATATGCTTTGATACATATTTTTCATGATCCTTATCATTTCGTTTGATCCATTGTATGGTATACTATATTCTGATTGGGTTGTTTTCATAGAATCTTTATTTTTGTTAAGAGAATGTAGAAAATGTTCTGTAATTTATTAGTTCTATTTCGTATGAATTTCACTCATAGAGCAAAACCAATACAGACTGTTGTTCAATTTTGAGGGTGTGGTTTAGGTGTAGGTAACCCACACCATTCTCAAAATTCATAGCGACACTTTTGATAAAATGGATTACTTTTTAAATACCTACAATCTAAACCGAAAGCCTTTGGAGGCATTCCTGTATTTAAAAACAATTTCATTCTCATGATTGAAATTGAATCATTTTTGACACTATTCTCACTACGAGAAATATCATCAGAGCACGGCACATTAAATATATAATAACACAATAGCATCGTTCTTTACGACCATCAACATTATTCAATAGACATTACATCTCAAACTTCAAATACATGAATATTCACCAACCCTCACTAACTATTCACTTTTTTATATCATTTTACACAAAGTCGCATCTGTTTCTTCTTCCTACTATTCCATTGGACGTTTTCACTACCGATCAGCTAATAGTTCATGAAGACATCGATGTTTATTTGCCACATATCTCATCAATAACTTCATATCATAAAAATTCATTACAAACTACATCACGAGATAAAACCGTGACACTCATTTATTATTCGTCTATATCATATAACCATACACATTTTTTTATCACAGACACTCACCACACTTAATCTCGGAAGCAATAAAATCGGACCTCTCGGAGCACAACATCTGGGTGACACATTACAACATAACATCGTGACCATCATTTTCAATTCATCTATATAATATACCCATAAACACTTTTTATCATAGACACTCACCACACTTGATATATTCGATAATCAAATCGAAGACAACGGGGCACAATATCTAGCTCAAGGATTAACGAATAATACCGTAACCCTCATTCTTAACTCATCTATATGATAGACCCATAAACACTTTTTATCACAGACACTCACCACACTTGAACTCGTATTCAATCAAATCGGACCTCTTGGAGCACAATATCTGGCTGAAGCATTAAAAACTAACACAGTGAACCTGATTCTCTGCTAATCCATGCCATATATCCATAACCACGTTTTGATGATAGACACTTACGACAATTAATCTCGGAAGCAATAACATCGGACCTCGCGGAGCACAACATCTGGCTGAAGCATTAAAACATAACACCGTGATCATCATTCTCAATTCATCTATATGATATACGCATAACTACTTTTTATCACAGGCACTCACCACACTTGATCTCGTATTCAATGAAATCGGACCTCTCGGAGCACAACATATAGCTCAAGCATTAATAAATAACACTGTGAACCTCATTCTCTACCAATCTATATTGTAAACTCATAACTATACTTTTTATTATAGACACTCACCACACTTAATATCCACAATAATGAAATCACACACAATGGAATGAAATATCTAGCTCAAGCATTAATAAATAACACTGTGATCCTCATTATCAACTGACCTATATCATAACCCCATAAGCATTTTTTATCACAGACACTCACAAAAATGTATATTGGAAGCAATGAAATCGGACCTCTCGGAGCACAACATCTAGCTGAAGGATTATCAAAAAACATCGTAACACTCATTCTCTACTCATCTATACCATAAACCGACAACCAATTTTTCTCGCAGTCACTCACCACAGTTCATCTCCAATCGAATAAAATCGCGGACAACGGAGCTCAATATCTAGCTCAAGCATTATCAAATAATACCGTGGCCCTCATTCTCTAGTCATGTATTCAATATACCCATATCCACTTTTTATCACAGACACTCACCACACTTCTTCTCGGAATTAATGACATCACAGACAATGGAGCACAATATCTAGCTCAAGGATTAACAAATAATATCGTGACCCTCATCCTCAATTTATCTATATGATATACTCATAAACACTTTTTGTCACAGACACTCACTGCACTAAATCTATTCTCCAATCAAATCACAGACAACGGAGCGCAACATCTAGCTCAAGCATTAACAAATAACACTGTAACCCTCATTCTCAACTCATCTATATCATATATCCATAACAACATTTTATCACAGACACTCACTACACTAGATCTCTACTCCAATCAAATCACAGACAACGGGGCAAAATATCTGGCTCAAGCGTTAATAAATAACACTGTGATCCTCATTTTCAACTTACCTTTAACATGAGCCCAGAATCATTTTTTATCACAGACACTCACCACACTAGAACTCTCCTACAATCTAATCGCAGACAACGGAGCACAATATCTAGCTCAAGCGTTAATAAATAACATTGTGATCCTCCTGCTCAACCCACCTATATCATAACCTGATAAATATTTTTGTATCACAGACACTTACCACACTTGCTCTCTCCCAGAATCAAATCACAGACAAAGGAGCACAATATCTAGTTCAAGCATTATCAAATAATATAGTGACCCTCATTTTCTAATCATCTATATCGTAAACCCATAACTACTTTTTATCACAGACAGTCACCGAATTATATCTCGACGGTAATCAAATTGATGGCAATCTTGAAAAACGTTTGAAGGAATTGATTGAGCGGAATGAGAAGCAGAAAAAAGCGTGATGTTAGTATGGAGGATGGTTCGATCAAGAGTTGAAGCAAGCCGATCAACATGTGACTTCTAAGTTTGCCTTTATTTTTGAGCTGACAATAAAGTGTCAACGGTTTGAATGAGATATGCTTGATAATGATGATATTGTAATAGTATCTAGTGAAATGATGAATATAAAGAGTTTTTTATCTTTTGTGGTGATACATTTGCTGCGCCTGAACGCGATTTAAATTCGAAGAGCGTCTAGCCGCGATTTATCGACCTTCGCATCTGGCCGTGCCTGAACGGGGTTTTATCTGAAAATGCGTCTCCAGTGAAACATTTATGCGTCTAGACTCGGTTTTAGTTGGAACCGCGTTTGGACGCAAAACAATCTTTCACATGGACCGCACCTAGACGTATTCGATATACCTCCGATTAATATACGAACGAAACTCGATTCAGAAATCTGTTAAGACAAAAAAGAATTTACAATATTGATTTTAAATCCACCAGAAAATAACTATCAACATTTTCTATAGAATTAATCTAATCTGAACAATGTTGAATCCTCAACAATTTTGAAGTTCTTCTTCACACAAAAGACGGAGTAAATGCATTTTTTAATAGAATAGAGTAGACACATCAACTCTGAAACATCGGGACTCTAAAAATGAAAAAAAATGAAAGTTTAGAAAAACAATAAACAAAATTTTTTTCAAAAAGAATACTCTGCATTATTCGAAATTTTTAAAATGATTTAATTTTATTTACTTAATGCACAATTTTTCTGGATACGTATATATATTTATGCATACAACAATAATTAAAATATTATATGTGCAGAGAATTTCATTGATACATGCATTTGTAAATAAGTTTCTAACAGACGACCTTGAGGGTGTGGGGTGTGGGGTGTGGATGTGAAGTGTGGGTGTGGGTGTGGGTGTGGGTGTGGGGTGTGGGCTTGGGTGTGGGTGAGGGGTGTGGGGTTTGGGTGTGGGTGGTATGGGTGCTGGCCTTTTCAGCATGTGCACGCATAGCCACGTCCACCCGCACCCAAACGTACACGTACACCCACACATCCACCCTCACATCCACACCCACACATCGACACCCACACCCACACCCACACCCACATCCACACCCACACACACAGCCACACCCACACACACAGCCACACCCACACCTACACCCACACCCACACCCACACCCACCCATATTGGTTTTTTTTATGTTTCCTACCATATGAATAGGAATATGCTCAGTTATTTGTTTTTGAATACTGTGTTTTTGTGCGTTTCCTATCATGTGAATAGAAATGTGTTCATGGTTCTTTGTTTTTGAATATTGTTGCGGCTAGTTGAGTTTGAATAGTTATCAGATGTCTGAATACTATATGAGGAAAGAATAAATATAATCAGAAAAAATTCGTTAGGCGGGGTTCATATCTGCATGCATGCTCATGCATGCAGTTTTGAATGCATTGTCATGCATTGAAAATTTAATGTACGTAATCATATGATAATGCAACCTGTTTAATGCAATGATATTGCATTGAAGTGATTATCCCTTGCAATGAATTAAACTAAGCAATGCATTATAATGCATGAAATGGGTTGCATTATCATGTAATCGCATCCATTGCGTTTCTGTTGGAAAATAATGCATTGCAATGCGCATTATTTTGGAGAAACGGCTACACGGGATAAGTGTTTCTTTTTTAAAATTCGAATTTCTTTCACTTTTTATTATATTTCCATCGCCCCAATATGACGCTATCTTTATACACATTTGTTTCGATAGATCTCTGTAAAAAAAATAATCCAAATAGTATGAATTCCATTAATCATGAAAAATCACGAGTTAGCTCACGTGCTACAGTTCACAAATTATCGCTTCATAAGTTTAACTAATTTTCTGCACTTCATAATCATCGGAAATTACACTATTACGATTGTGTTTGCAGTACTGAAACTAAAT